TTTTAAAATAAACTAAAAACAATTTAGTTAAAAGGAGAAAATCCTTTAATTTGTTGTTCTTTTATATTCGTCACACTACCTTGTATTTGAGGCACTTCTTCGACTGCAGTATTCATGTCTCTATTTTCCAACAAAGGGTCTTCTGTTTTATCAATGAATTTTCTTCTAAAAGTTGATGACACTTCTCTTATTCTCTTCATTCTCAAAATCAGCTTTTTTTCGCCTTCCAACATGACTCTAATTTTTTTACTGCTTTTATTTTCTTCCATTTCTGGCCAGATCATTTTCTTCTCAGTATAAATGATTTCCTCCATACTATTTCTCTCTCTAAATTTGATTCTTACAACAAATTCAGTATTAACGCAAATTGGAATAATAAATCCTTGGAACCACCCATCAGGATAATGACTTGTTTCATCAAAGGTTTCTGAATACATCCAGGACGTACTATACACCTTTCCTTTATAACAAATCTCTGCTGCTGGAAACAAGTAGTTTGTGTTCCACATGAGCCCATCAAACTTTTTCAATTTTTCAATATCAATTTCGCATGGAAATTCGGTGTTAGAGTAGACGTCATTAAGAGGTGGTATCAATTCGGGTCTCACGTGATGATACACACTCTCCAAACACTGAATTTCAAAGTCAAACCCGGTTCCACTGTCTCCACTGATTTTAACTGACGTCTTTTCATTCTCGTAAAAATCGGGGACGACGTATTGTGTCGACGCAATGAGTGTCCCGTCGCCCTCTGACTTGATCTTGTCGAACAAGTGCAAAGAGATACTCAGCGTCTCGCCGACTCGCGCTTCGACATATAAAGTTTGCGATTGTGAAAGACAGTTTTTTATATAGTTGAATAACACTAACTTCGTCACCCCAGTCCTCGCTCGCATCGACTCACTTCGCACCGCTATTTTCATGTTGTTACCAATTCTTGCAATAAACTTGTTGAGTCCAAATTCCTGTGAAATAGCTCGCTCGAGCCCGACAATTGGTTTCACTTTGATCTGCAAAAGCGTTTTTCTCTCGGGGGAAATTTGCTGTAAAATTTGTAACGACGAAATCCCACGAGAAATGCATTTCGCACTAAACAGCAAATACCCACGTGGATTTATTTGAAGTAAATAATAACGGAATTCGTCATTCATTAAAGGTGGTACTTCCCACTTAGCACACCCTAACATATCATTGGACGTTAATAAATGCCAAGTGTAGAATTGAAATGTGACTGTTTTTGAAGGTATGAGAGTCACTCTTTGAGTGTAATTATAGTCGGGTTCAGTCGTCATCATTTTACAGCGCGTTTCGTAAGAAGTTTTGTTAATATAAAATTTGATATATGGATTTGAACTCATTGAATCAAAACAAGGAACATCACGAGCACAAATAAAAGTCAGGTCCACTAACATAGAATAATCAATTGACATGAATGTTATTAAATATACAATTATTAAGTTTCTGAAATGCCAATTTACACCCCCTTTCATTCAATAATAATTCTGTATTATATTGGATTATTCCGAATTAAATAATGGTTTATTTTTTGTATTAAGATTAATTATTTAATGAACAATTAACTCGAATTCTTCATTTATAATTTTAGTTGTTTAGTTCAATTAAAATATTTTGTTATAACAAAAACATATCAATTTACTATATTATGATATATTTAAATTGTTTTTATAGTTAAGAGTATTTTGTTTGTGTTATTTAAAAAGTGTAGTTGACCAAATAATTATCAGAGACCAAATAATTGTAAGAAGGATATATTTCCCGTTAATTACCTTGGAAATGACTAATGAAAAAAGTGGAAAAAAAGGTACACCAAATAATGGTAAGAAACCCATTTCTATTTTTAAAATAGTTCTTGATTAAGGTTTTAAAACTATTTATTTTACTTCTTACAATTATTTGGTTAAAATTAAAATTGTTTTTGGATTTTTTTGTCGATTCATTTAATAATAATATTTATTGTTTTATAGATGTATATATGTTATTGAATTTGATATATTGTTAATCTATTTAATTAATGAAGGCCCCGTAGCACAGTCGGTAGTGCATCGTACTTATAGAATAGAGATATGCGAGGGTCGCGGGTTCGATCCCCGCCGGGACCATTTTAATTACATACACAATTATTTACTTTCAATTTTTAATAAAAATATAATAAATTTTAAATATTTAATTAAAAAAATTGAAATTAAATTATTTAAAGACCAACAGAAAATTGTCGTACACATTGTTTTATGGTATTTTTCTGTATAAAGTCGGGTTTTTATTTTTTCAAAACCCTAATTTTTTCCTGATTGTTTAGTCAAATTTTATGTGAAAAAATATTCCCGATTTTTTGGTTTGTTTGATACTAAAATCACAAGTGTACGACAATTTTCTGTTGGTCTTTACACATAAAATATTGTTCTCGTTTTTAAATTGATTTGTTTTTACAGGGATATTTATTCATTTTTTGATGATTTTCCCTTTTTGGCTTTTGTAATGATAAAAACACAATAAACTTTAAAAAACGGAAATACATTTAATAAACT